AAGCAGACACTCTAAAGGACACTTTGGAGAATGTAATGCGGCAAAACTAAAATCCAAAAACAAAGAGCAGAAAATACCTGGCGTTAAAGGGCGGGCATCTAGAGTCTTTCCAAATCGAAGAGCATTTTAATTCTTTATCATTTTGGAAAGCCGCTAGATAGCCGCCCTTCTTACCTCAGGTTTTTTCAGCACAATGTTGCTTACGCCATCAAAGAATCTTCAAAGTGCTTTTTATATTCGAAATTGTCCTTAATATATTATAATGTTTAGTTGTAAAACACTAAATACAAATTTATTAGCAATTTTGTAAGCCAGATCAAAAGCAGACACTCTAAAGGACACTTTGGAGAATGTAATGCGGCAAAACTAAAATCCAAAAACAAAGAGCAGAAAATACCTGGCGTAAAGGGGCGGACATCTAGAGTCTTTCCAAGTCGAAGAGCATTCTAATTCCTTATCATTTTGGAAGGCCTTTAGATAACCGCCCTTCTTACCTCAGGTTTTTTCAGCACAATGTTGCTTACGCCATCAAAGAATCTTCAAAGTGCTTTTTATATTCGAAATTACCCTTAATATATTATAATGTTTAGTTGTAAAACACTAAATACAAATTTATTAGCAATTTTTAAACTAAATTAGAAACAAAATATAATTTTTTCTTTTATTATATGCTCATGCTTTTAAGTTAATATATGCATAGATTAGGTGGATCTGCATAGGAAAAACCTAGAAAAACGGTTCCTTGCACTGATTATATTAGTAAGAATATAGTAGATGATTTGCATATGCATTTAATCAATTGGACGTTAGCCGCAACAGTGCTCTTTCACATGTAAATCGGCATCGCAGTTAGTGTTCCTGGTCCTGATTTTGTCCCGTTCCTCAGTCGACGAGTTTTCCCTGCATGCTGGCAGGCACTAATCCAATTGCTGTATGGATCATTAAGCACTGATTGCGTTTATGGTGCAGACGGAACCTCGGGCCTAGGTATACAAATGTGTATCCGTTCGGATCCAGAGCAAGGACACTTCACAGGCAGCAGTCGCAGCATATGCAGATTAACCCACAGCCAATGAAAAGGGATGAGTTGCCCTGACATCAATTATGCTGCCAATTCACCGCATTAGATTTAACAGCAAATCGATTTTGCGATAAAAAGAAGGGAAAATTTAAATGCATTTGGGCGAAGGAAAGTGTTAAATTAAATTCCCATCTTTGCAATAACATTACCACGCTCAGTCCGCATTGCCCTACACAGAGAAAACAAATTGTACCAATGAATTAAAAGTATGCCAAGAAAAGAAAAATATCTTCGATGAATCGCGAATTTTAAAAATATAGGAAACTTTAATTTCGATTACCGGACAACTATAGCATGCCCAAACCGCAAACAATATCTTCTTTCTTCTTTTTTTAAATTCTATAAAATTTACTTTGCGGCTTATAGGTTCCTTAACAATAAAGTGTTTCTCTATTATCTCAAAGGTAACCTCTGAATCTCTTTTAATTTAATTTTAAAATTTGCAATTATAAATCCTATTAAAAAAAATATCTAAAAAAAATAGGGGAAAACGACCAAAACACTACGGTGATTTTTTCTGTGTACTTTACTTTTTGACGAGCATTCTCCATTCAAATGAACCGCAAAGTAAATCTGCATTTGATTTGTTACCCTGGCGCACATGTTGCAAAAAGTTTTGCCGGCAACTGTCGCCGCGAAAGGTGACATACACAAAAATAGAAAAACAATTGCCAATTACGGACGAGCAGTTTTCTCGCTTCCTTGTTTACCGCTCGAGCCACTGCCCCCGGATCAGCACCCAAAACCACCCAAGCCATTCTGTTCCCACCCCGGTAGCCACCAGCATGGTCCATAAACAACAGTCGAAACAAAGCAAAAACGGAAAGAGAAACAATCAAAAAGCAGGAAACCCAACAAAAAAAATTGAGGGGTGGCAATGGGCAGCAGGAAAAACTATGTGGAAAATCACTTTTGCGCTCATAAATTTCAATAATAAAAATTTGAATGCAGTTGACACGATACCGAAACAAGCATCCTCGCCCCTTTTCGGCAGAGGAGCAGCAAACAAGGTTAAGTGAAATAAAAATCAGTGAAGTGCATAAACAAGGTTCAAGGTGCGGGTCGGGTCGGGTAAGTGGGATTGGGATTTGTATGTAGATCTGAATCTGGATGCTGCTGCATCACCCGATAATTGAATTGGCTTGTCACATTTGGTTGAGGGAGAGCAACCCTTTTTTTACCAACATAGAAGTTATGGTTTTGCATGCATAAATCTTTATACATATATGGTCATATGTGGGTTAGCCCTTATTAGCAGCATACGTCACACGAATTTCAGGGTGGCAGCCTCAATTAATATTTGCGGTTCAAGTGCAAATGGGATAATCTTGAGGTCAGTGCCACGCGGTACATAAGGCGTCTACATATTTGCCGAATATTGAATATATGCATATGTGGTTAGCCTCTAAGCTTGTGATGCCTGAATTACTGAATTTATGTTGGATAAATTTATCTTAATCTCAACAAACTAAAAAAATCGAATATTTAGACTACAATTCATCTGAGCCTTCTAAGAAAATTTCGTTATTAATGTTTTTATCAAACCGGAACACCTTTTAACGAGTTAAAAAAATATTAGCAATCGCAAATTCAAAAAATTAAATTTTTCATATTAAATGTACATTGGACTAATCAAACGTGAGATTTCTTAAAATGTTCTCACTGCACATTTTAAATAATATTTTAGTGCTTAAAAATTGTGTTACTGTTTATTTAGAAAGTGTTTTTAGACTTTATCCGCACCATTGGTTACGCATACTTTACGGCGCATTAATAGTTTCAGCCAGCATTACTTGTTTGCTACTGAAAAAGTTTTTGTTTCTTAATAAGTTTCGAACGGGTAAAGTGTTATATGTAAAAAATAGGACAATTTTAAGAACTATGTAGTACGGTATGTATAAATGGTTCGAACTTTTTTCAGAAAACCACCACAGGACGAGCACAAAAGTACAAAATTGTTGAACTTTTCTATTTAGAAAAATTACGTTATTTAATTACTTTTGTAAAGTATCTCTAGTCGCTAAAAAATTAAATTATCTTTAGCCAGCTTAATATCTGACGAATTTAAAAGTGATGTCCGCTGCTATTAAACTTTTAATGTAGTAAGCTATCTTTTGTTAAGAACTGACTATTTTTTTTAATTCGACTTAATTGGACATAGAAACCGAAATAAGCAAGAGCAGCATAAAAAAAATATTAGACTTTTTTTACATTCAGCACCTACAATTTATGTTTTTCGTCAGGTTTATCCTTTCTAAATAACATTTTAGCATTTTATTCAAAAAAATTATAGAAAACAAAATATTTTTTTTTAAATTATTTAAAGAACGGTTTCTTGGAAAACATTCAATAAACGATTTCTTAGGAATCCTCAAAAAGTCAAAAATTTAATTTGTTAAAGCAAACTTTTATCAGAATTATATTGTCCTCTACAAGTATAGAAACGTTATTTTGTAGCACCTCTTCCTTTTTGTATGAAAATAATAATGTAATAACAAAAATACTACAAATTTCTAAATAGTTGGTTTTCAGTTGGAGCGACCTAAAACAGATGACATTTTAAAAAGCGCGCCAAGAACCGAACTATCGATAGTTGAACACTCTATCGATATAACTCATATCGAGCACACCAATAATAACAACAAATAGCACAAATATTCACGTTTAAGAAAAAACTTATATTTTATTCTGGTTGTTGATGTTTAAGACAGAACGATCAGGTCTAGATGTGGTTCACTTCTTGGCCTTCTTAGGGTCTCCCTTGGCGGCGTCCTCGGACTCGGCGGCCTCCTTGGCGCGCTTGGCACGAATTCCGACCAAACGGGCATCAGTGCGGGCCTGGAAATATCATGAGATATAAGAATCTAAGGCGAAAAGGATTCCTAAAGCTTAAACTTACCTTGCGCAGCGTGGCGAAGGCCTTGAACTTCTTCTCCTCCTTGGTCACATCACGGAACTCGACCACGGTGGGCTGCTCATTGGTGATGGGCATAACGCGGCCCTGGAGCTGAGTGGCCAGCTTGCACTCCTCCACGGAGGACTCTCCCTTGCGGATCTTCTTCTCGTTGATGGGGAACAGGATCAGCTTGCTGCGGTACTCCTTGAGGCGCTGGATGTTGCGCTGGCGGGATTCCAGGGATTTGTTCTTGCGCCTACGGTCGACGGCGATGCCAATGGTCTTGGCGAAGCTAGCGCCAATGCCGGCTCCCTGTGGAAAAATATTGAGTTAGCCAGTGGATCATCATCGGGTGGAAATCTTCCAGGCGGCACAACTCACCTTCAGCTCCTCCAGGGTGAAACCACGGCCGGCACGCAGCTTGGTGTGGTAGCGGATGGTGGGGCAACGGACCACAGGGCGCAGGGCACCGCTGGCGGGGCGGGGGAAGACGGCCTTGGCCTTCTTGACGCGGTTCTCGTGCCTCCGGATCTTGCGAGCCGGCTGGTTGAACCAGGTCTTCACATGCCGCTGCCACCACTTGTGGTAGTGCTGATTCGGAATCATATTGTTACCCTTACCCATCTTGGCGGTTTAGATTGGCTGTAAGGTGCAAAACACAACGAAAACATTAATGTCTATATGTATTAAACCCGTAAATGCGGCATAACCAAGCTGCAGGCCCACGTGGCTGAGTCATTTTGTTTGTTTCTCCCTTAATTAAGAGCACTTTCAAATGTCTAAAGGCAGTCACTAAGGCTCCTTTGAGTCGCCCACACTCTGCACACTCGATGGCCAATGTTCCATAGCGTTTATCTTTTATTTTCATTAAATTTCGGGACGCACACAAAATTCACACACCTTTTCTTCCCAACAACGAATTAAAAAGGAAATCGCAACCAACTTCACGTCGTTGAGCAAACGAAAATTTCCCTCGTAAAATTCCCTAAGGCGAGCGAGAAATTTCCCCAGCTATCGATTGGTGATGCAATCAGTGTTAGCGAGAATACTCAACAAATCGCATTTTTTTCGCCCGTCAGCCGCATTAAAAATAAAAAACTGTGACGCGAATATTTAAGCAGGCAGTAAAAATAAGTAAAAATAGTTTCGAGAGCATTTCGAGCATTTATAAACGTTTAATTGCCTTATCGATTGACTGGCGTGTCGCGTGGCAACTCTGAACTGTACCTTTGATACAGATAAAAAACTATTGACTATTGAACCGTCTATCTATAATCGAGAAATTGCGCGCTAATTCCTGCATTGGCCTGCAATCGTAGTCGATCGAATCCAAATCAAAACAAACATCCTAATCCCCCCGTGAAACGGAGATGAGTGAAGAGGTATCAGCGTCGCCGGTGGCCCTTGGCGAGCTCAAGTATGAGGATGTATCGCAGCTGAACTTCTCCAAACTGTACTCGCCCAAGATGAAGAGCGTTTATTGGCGCTACTTCGGTTTCCCCTCGAACGACAACAACGAGGTGATCACCAAGCAGAACGTGGTCTGTATAAAGTGCCACAAGGTGCTGACCAACCATGGTAACACCACCAACTTGCGGGCGCACCTTCAGCACCGACACAAGGATCTGTTCAAGGAGCTGTGCCAGGAGCACGACATCCATGTGCCGCCGCGCAAGACGCCGCGCAACGTGTCCCATCCGCCACTGTCCAAGCGGAATGTGTCGTCCCGCCGGGTGAAGCTGGAGTTCATCAACAACCGCAACCACGACAACGCCTCTGACGAGGAGCTGGACGAGGCCGCCGTGGCCACCGCGGCTATGCAGGCGGAGGAGGACGCCTCCTCTCAGACCATGCTGTACGAGACCATGGTGCCGTTCACCTACGACGAGGCCGACAATCTGGTCGAGGAGGAGGAGCGTCTGGACATGGAGCCGAAGTATGGGCGGAAGCGTAAGGTGGCTATCCCCTCGGGAGCACTGCACGGACGGGCCATTAAGCACGAGGATGGGGGCTATACCGTGGCCAACATAGCCAATCTCGCCGAGGCACTTACGGACATAATGATCAAGGATCTGCGAAACGTGGAGTTTCTGTACGACGCAGGTTTCAGCGATTTTGTGCGCCAGGCCATGGGCAGCTCGGCTCCCATGCCAGAGCAGCACAAGATCGACTCCCTGATCAGCGAGATGCATGCCTCCAAGTTTCTGGAGGTCGGCGAAGTCACGCGAGAGTTCACCGCCGATAAGCCCTTCTCCTTCGCCTTCGAGCACTGGGTGAATGTGGAGCAGCGGCGCTTTCTCAGCATCTTCCACCACTATTTGGACGAGGACACGCAGTCGGTGAGGAGCATCCTTTACGCCACTGTAGAGTACACCGACTACATCGTTTTGGACGATCTTCTGACCGACTTCTATTTGCCCAACTGCACTCTGGCCATCATAAACTACGATGACGAAGAGGATTTACTGTACACCTATCTGCGAGAAAAAAGTAAGTGAAGATTTAAAGAGAAATGACGACGTACTGATTAATACCTCTTGTTTTGCAGATATCCCCATTGTACTGTGTTACGTTTCGGTCATTGACAAATGTTTGCGACGCGTCTTTGAGCTCGAAGAGGTGGCCTCGCTATTGGAGCAGGTGAAGGAACTCATGCAGCGCCACTCGTCGGAGATCGCCTCCAAGGTATCTGAGCTGCCCCCGTACAACGAGCACTTCCCCTGGACTCTGTACGAGACGCTTAAGTTCTTTGCGGAATCCATCTCCTGGTCCGAGGACATGGACCAGTTGGTGATCTCGGCCAAGACGGTGACGGAGGCCCTTAGTGCCCTAGTGGTAGGCATGAACCTAACTTGAGCTTGTGAACACCTTTCTTATTGACTTTAATATCTATCAGATTGCCTTGGACACACTGCGAGGCGAGGATATCCCATTGTGCAGTATGCTTTCCCCAATCACCTCTAAGATTCTCATCAAGAAGCTGGGCATTGCCGAACAGGATGATCCGCTAATGATGAATGTGAAGCGCACAATTGCCGGTGTGCTGCAGGCCCACATCATTACCAATGACAATCTGACCGCTGCTGCGTTGTTGGACCCTCGCTTCCACCGTCTGACCACCATTGACAACCTGGACAGATGCGTTCGCATGCTGACCCATAAGTATAACAAGAACTTTGGGGGGTTGGGAGAAGGTGAGACCAATGAAGTGGCGACCACCTCTAGTAATGTGGCCATCAAGTCAGAACCAAGAACGGGAGGAGTCAGTGCAGCGGGCAAGTCGAGTAAGTAAAAAGAACAAGGTGTATTGTAATCCATAACTAACGAATAACTTCCTGTAGAACTGGAACTGCTGTTCGACATTGCCGATATCCCTAATCCTCCAAAGAGGGATGCCGACAGCACCGTGGAAACGGATCTTAAGCGGTATCGCAACGAGGTTGCCGTCCAGCTGGATGAGTCACCCATCGAATGGTGGCTTAAAATGGGTCACATCTATGGAACGCTGCGTGACTTGGCCACACTGTACCAGAGCGTGCCCGGCGTGGTGACCCTCAGCTTCAAAAAGGCGCTTCGAGACCAAATATACGACTTTAACAAGCGGTTTATGCTAACCGGCAGTCAAATCGACGCGATCCTCTTCCTTCAACATCACAACAATTAGAATGCATTCGCCTATCCCTGTTTTTATATAATACAATTACATTTTAATTACTTTAAACTTAATCCGATCTTGTGTACATGAGCATGACTACCAGGGGAAAGGCAAATAGTCTAAACGCAATTCCGCCGTACTGTAAACCAAAAGACAACCTTGGCCTGACACGGAACATCTATAGGTATAAACTTATAAATGTTAAGAGAACATACAGACAGCATAGATCCCAATGAAAAATTTAATCTAAGAATATTTGTTAAATAAAACTAAAACTAATCAGCAAAATTTGCTTTTTAATCTTACTCAGTCTCATACATATTTTAAAAGAATTTCTCACTTATAAGAGGTTTAAATAAATAATTTTTAAATTTCTTTACAATGTATATATATTTTAAAACTTGGATGCAATTATTAGATATGGTATCGGTAAAAAAATCAAATAAAACCCATAAACTTGGATTTTTCTTAAATCTTCGCAATAAAGAAATACTTATATTTATTATTATTTTAAAATATTCTAATTCTCTATCAACAGAAAAAAACAAGCTAAATATTTGGTTATTTTGTCGATTTAAATTTTTTTTTTCTCGTTTTCAAAAGTAGTTTTTTTATTGGTGATAAATATATTTAACTTGTTCTGTATAAAATCGAAACAACCAGATTATAGACTTTAAAAGTAAATTAAATACGTCGAATCCATTAAAAAATATAATAATTTAACCAACAATACTTATTTTGTTGGTTAAATTATTATTATTATCTTGAAGACCAAAGTAGATTTATTAACTTATTCTTATTAGCGACCAAAAAATAATTTTGCTGTTTTATTTAATTTATTTGAATTCCTCTATTATGATAAGGGTTATCAAAAATAACCTAATTATCATTGAAAAGAAACAAATTTTAATGAGGTACTTTCACTTTATGAACAGATTAAAATATATAACATTTATAAAAATATATATCTTTTCGATATTTTTGGTGTTTTTCGGTACTCGCTGCCTGGTCACACCCGGACATAGACGTAGTACGTACGCTGCACCCGCAGATTGGATTGGCACAAAAGAAGGGCAATAACCAGCGATATTGCGATAATAGGACCGATCCCAGTGGCCTGAGGCACTTGCTCTGCTAGCAGTGGAACCCTAAAAATGCGCCTCCAGCGTGGGAACGACCGCCGAGTCCTGTAATCTTCTGTGGGCGAACTTCTGGCGGGGCAGAGCGATTCGGAGCGGAGGTAGTCGGAAAAGCAAGTGAAAACAGATTCGGGGCGGCAGCGGCAAAGCCAACGTATCAAGCTATCAGAAAGTTCGGTAGTCCCGCAAAACCAATCCCAAATCCAATCCTAAGCGGGACTCCAGAGGACAGGATGTGCGGCCTAGACGTAAGACGCTTCTTCGAGGAGTGGCGCATCTGGATACGTCCGCTGCTCATTGTCACCTATGTCATCTTTGCCATCATCGTGGTGCCGCTGCTTATCGTAAACTCCGTGAAGGATGGTTTCCAACGCAACGACCAGCTTATTTTGATAGGTGGCCTGTTTGTACTGTCCGCGGTGCCTGTGTCCATATGGCATATCATTCAACACGTCATCCATTTCACGAAGCCCATACTGCAAAAGCACATAATCCGCATATTGTGGATGGTGCCCATCTACGCCTTAAACGCGGTAAGTGGGTCACCGTCGTCGGAATCGGAATTGGAGACCACAAGAAACATAATACTCTTCGTTCACTTGCAGTGGATCGGCCTCTTCTTTCCGAAGCACTCCATTTACGTGGATTCGCTGCGCGAGTGCTACGAGGCCTATGTAATCTACAACTTCATGGTGTACCTGCTCAACTACTTGAATCTCGGCATGGACCTGGAGGCCACCATGGAGTACAAGCCGCAGGTGCCACACTTTTTTCCGCTCTGCTGCATGCGGCCATGGGTGATGGGCCGCGAGTTCATCCACAACTGCAAGCACGGCATTCTTCAGTACACGGTGGTGCGACCCATCACCACCTTCATCTCTGTGTGAGTTTCGGGATGTCCTTTTGGTTTAACACCCAACTCTAATTGGAATTCCGTAGTATCTGCGAGCTGTGCGGTGTCTACGGCGAAGGCGAATTTGCGGGCAGCGTAGCTTTTCCCTACATTGTGGTCGTTAACAACATCTCGCAGTTCGTGGCCATGTACTGCCTGGTGCTATTCTACCGTGCCAACAAGGAGGACTTAAAACCCATGAAGCCCATTCCCAAATTTCTGTGCATCAAGGCTGTGGTGTTCTTCTCATTTTTGTAAGTGCCAGTGAATAAGCTTTTAAATTGCGGAATTATTAAGCATATTTTATATTAAACATAGCCAAGGAGTGCTGCTCAATGTGCTGGTATATTATAACATAATTAAGGACATTTTTGGATCGGATGTGGGCGACACTAATCTGGCATCCCTACTTCAGGTGAGACCACACTAAGAATTATTGAATCTATTAGTATTTAAATTCGTGAAAAAAAGAGAAGTTGAATTAGATAACTTCCATTATCTCAAAAAGGGAAACCGTTCGTAAAGCTAAAAACGAAGCGCTGATTTGTTTTAACTTAATCTTGGGATTGTAAAAAATGCCTAAAGCTGATGACGAAGAGTGGATCTTCAGTGCTACTTTCTCTTATCCAAATTCTCAAAGAAAAGATATTGAACCAAATATGCAAAATAAATATACCATTTCAAGAGAAAGTTAATCGACCTGAATGTGACTGATATTTACGTTGTTCTTTATAATCCTTACCAGAACTTCCTTATCTGCATCGAGATGTTCATCGCCGCCGTGGCCCATATCTACAGTTTCCCACATCACCCGTTCCACATAAACTCGCCGCAGTACTGGAACAATCCGAACCACAGCTGGTGTCGCGCGTTTCTCTCCATGATGGACATCTCGGACATGCAGGAGGACGTCACCGAACATCTGGGCGTCGTGGGCAGCTCGCTGAGTCGCCGCTTCCAGGGACGCAGCACCTACCAGCCGCTGGCACGCAGTCCTCGTCGTTCCAGCAGTGAATCTGAGTATCTAATAAGCAAGCGGCAGGATCAGCAGCTGCCGGGCAACTCGTCGCAATCAGGTAACATGTATGGCGCAACTTCCAGTCGCCTGATCGTGCCTGTGTGTGATGGCAAGCTGAACACTCTGCCCGAAAACCACCCTACTCACTCCCAATCTCGATTTCCCCTAGCAGGCTTGGCCGACGATGGCAACAGTAGCAACAGCAACAACTACCAACAACAACAACTACATTTACCGGGCGCGACGGGCACTCAGCCATCGACTCGTCAACGTGATACCCTGCATCTTCGCGAGCGGGAAAGGGATCCGGGTGTGGGTGCTGGCGGAGGTGGCAGCTTCCTGCGTCTGCCGACCGGTGCCGGAGCAACCTCGGCGGCTGCGCCAATTCCAGAGTCTACCGACGACTATGCCCTGTTGTTGGGTGGCGGCGCAGGCAGGTGACACCGCTATAACCAGTACCACTACCAGCACCATCAGCACCCGCAGATTGACGACGCTTTCGAGGATGAAGATGGCGTGGATGTGAGTCAACAGTTGAATGCCTCATCGCTCAGCGCCTCGCTGTCCGTTTCGTTTGGCATGTCGAGCAGTCTTAAGTTTAGTGCCACTGGCAGCAACCAGTCGGCGTCCGAGTGGTCCAACTCAACGGGCGGGGATGATGACGCTGACGACGATGACGTGGACGTGGACGGAGAAGATGGGGAGGACGGCGATGACGGTGCTGGCGAGCAGCCCGTTGTCGTTATTGCCTCAACGACGCGGCGCCGCCGCGATCGAGAGTACATCACCTAAAACATTCTTCAGTTATATGTACGCTATTCTTATATTTATTATTTCCTCCATGTCTTGATTTGTGCTAGGCTTAAAATACTCATGAAAACAAACATTTTCTATCGGCCCCATTAAATGGGGTATTTCAAATCGTGGCCTTAGTTTTCATCGCGAAAGCAACTTATTTTACTTAGCCATTATTGTAATCGTTTTTCTGATAGCGCACACAAGCAGATCCACACATCCCTTAGCCCAAAGAATCATCATTATGCACGTGCGAAATGCAGTCTTTTTATGTGCTGATTTTGTAAACAGCCTTTCCCGAAACGATATTTTTACTCTATACATACCCGCTAGATGAACCCCGCATAGTTAGGTCTCGAACTTTTGTGTGGCGACGTAGTTAATTAGAAACATGCCTGAACCGATTGTGAATTTTGTGACTGTCGCCGGTCAGAAAAGGGCGTTACTTGTATTTAAATAGAAATTCTTATTGTAAAACTAATATACACATTAATAATATAATATTGGAAACTATTTGCAACCGCCTTTTATGATTTATCTTCTAAAATTTGTATTATTTGTATCTTAATGCACCAATCTACATACTAACATTGCTATTCCAATTTTCGACACATGATCGTGTTATCGTTTTATATATTTTAAAGTTTGTTCTAGTGAATCGTATATGTGATAAGAGAAGTGTTAATAATTATTTGGATTATTTTTTTTATCGTACAAGATAAAATACTAAATTATATGATTCCATGCTGGTACGAGTTGAAATGATGAGATCAAAAAAGCAACGCCATTTTATTTGTAACATTTATTGAAATATTTGTTAAAGCACTTCGATTCCTTTGTCTTTTCATAATACTTGTTTTTTTTTTTTACATTTGAACGAAGATACAAAACAAAACAAAAAATTTTTAATTAAAAGTGACGAAAACGGAGACAATGTCTGACACAGAAACGGAGATGACCGAAGTACATATAAAGGCATTCACGGAATTCACGTTACGAACATAAATCAAATCGAATACTAAACGCTGATAATATAAAGAAAACAAGTAAACCGAATATCAATCAATATCAATTAAAAACAAATTCAGTCCAGTGATTACTTCTCGTGCTGCGTGCGCATAATTGTAACGAATCCCAGTAAATTTCGACGTGGCATGCCTTCAAAACGGAAGGCATCCCGATTGCTTTTAGCATACACGCAGCTGCTCCGATCAATTGTTGTAGTTCTGCCTGCCGCCCAGCTCGAGAAGATATCGATCCGGATGGTCCATCCAGTCGGCGGCTGTAAGCTTGACGGTCCGCTGTCGCTCGGCCTCCTTGATTTGCCACTTCTTGATGTCCAATTGCACTTCGCGTGATGTTTTGTCGCCGCAGCCCCACACCTGTGGAGATCAGAAAATAAGAGGGGAGCAACGTGTAGTTCTTGTTGTTGGTTGACTGTTGTTGGGTAAGGAGAATCGTAGACTTAGTTAAAATGCATCGCTAGAGCACACCTGGCCATTAGGAGGCACTGGTGTTCTGTTTTTAACAACTTAGACTGGAAATTATTTCGTTAATATACGATATACGTCTATGAATTTTACACTATATACCATATATGCATATACACATATATAAATATACTCTGTTGAATAAGGCTTATTGTACATGAATGCGATTAAAGTACAGAGGAATAACTCAAAATGGTTTTTAGCCTATTCTGGTCGTCACAGTTAAATGTGGAATGGTTGATTCTTATTTTCAGTGCCTAGCCTTGTTTTACCCATCTTTGCAAAATGTTTGCGACTTATGATTACTAAATGCTTTGTTTCCAATAGCATTCCGAGAAAATGTGGAAATGGAATTGATAAGTTGCTTTATCTATGCAATTTGATTGGGAAAACTCGTTATGATCTATGGATATTATTTTGAAAATTAAGCCGTTAATAGTCTTATCAATTCCGTTTCCGCATAACTTTCTAGAAGCAGGAATAAGTTGTGCAGCTTAATTTTCTGTTACACAAAAATGTCAGTGAAAGATTTCTATGTTCATTTACCTCTATGGACATTAATCCTGCCGCCAAACCCTTGCAGTCCACATTCTCGAAATGCTCATCGACGGCTATAATGGGCTTCCGCGGATCTGCGCCGGCACGTAATCCCTTCGGGTAGCCGCGTATGCTGGTATTAAGATACAGAATGTTGGCCTTTTTCTCCAGTATCACAAACCTTTAAGGAACACCATTAATAAGCATTGGAAATGTGGTCCATTTTGCTACCCACTTAGGCAGCAGCTGGATAACACAACTGCCCTCGCCGCCCACAAAAAGATGGGTCTCCTTCCACTCACTGGGCGACGCAACGCAATACGTCTGCTCGTCCTTGGTGTGCAGCAGGACGAGGGTGGGTCCCCGGTACCCAAGGACGTGGTGCAGAAACCGATTAGCGCCCACTCCGTGTTCGTTGGAATCGTACAGCAGCGTCCAGTGCGACGGCATCATCGACAGCTTCTCCTTGAATATCTGTACGGCGGACGAGGCGCTGAGGTTGTTGTTGCCCTTGTTGGCTGGCGGAGCCGCGGTCTGGGGCTTAGAGTAGAGCGGCGGCAAACCGCCGGCCAGCAGCCAGGCCTGCGAGAGCGGCATAAGCGAGTCCAAGTCCCGTCCGCTTCCGCCTCCACTGTGGTCCGTGGCGTCTGTAAAAGGATTGCGCTGATCCAGCACCGGAGTCTGTAGCTCGATGCCGCAGGACTGGTTCTGCAGCTCTAGGCCACGATAAGCGGTTGACAGCGTGTGTACGCAGTACTTGTGCACGAGAAGCACCAGCCTGATCAGGTTCTGCTCGAACCAGCGGCACACGTAGCCCAGACTCAGACTATCGTGGCACAGGAAAATGGACTTGGTCACTGAGCCGAATGTGCGGTTGATGGCCGAGCACAGAACGGCGTTGCCCGAGTGCTGCATGGCAATGGTGTAGCAGATGTGGAGCAGCCGCGTCACGCCCGTCTTGTCGATAAAGTCAGGGTTGTCCTCTTGGGCGTACATCTTGATGTAGCACTCCAGCGTCTTGGCGTCGTCCATTATGCCCAAAAAGCGCTCGCACTGCTGCCGAAAGGCGACGGCGCCCAGGTGCTTTGTGGTGGCCTTAGAGTTGGAGTGCATCAGGTTGAACAGCCGCTGGCCCAGGTCCGCATACTGCGGAAAGACTTGTGACTGGCAAAATAGGTGTTTTATATGAGCGCGTCAGTTGTTATCAGTTAATTACTCACCACAAAGACCTCTGCCACTATGCCATTAATGCCTAGTTTGGCCGACGTCTTTTCCCTGAGGATCTCGGCTAGCTTCTCCACTGGTACAAGCTGGGTGAGATACTTCTCGGTGACATCGGCCCCGGAAGCGGATCTGGTCATCGAGCCCTGCGCCTGCTGCACCTTCAGGCTATTGTGGCTGCCGCCTACGTCAGAGCCTCCGTTGTGGTTGTGGGAGGCATCGCTGTGCGAAGACTTGTGCTGCTTGTGGAGTTTCCCCCCATCCAGGGGCGGCTCACTCGCGTCCGACTCGCCCTTGGAACTCGTGTTTCCCATTTCGGTGACGATTCGCGGATCCCACTTCGACGCAATTAGTTCGCTGGCAGTGGAAACGTACAACTAAAGGGCATAAAAAGGCCAAACGCAGGTTTGCACTGGGGGGCAGTTTTCGATTTGCAAGGCGCAACAGGTCCAGGGATGTTTTAGCCAAAGAGACAACTGCGCCGCGTCACAAAACCTGTTATGAAACACACAAACACAGCGCTAACAAATCAGGTAAATATATTTACATAATTAAACGCAAATTAAGCTTTGAAACGAGAAAACGAAAACAAACCTAAGTAAGTGTGACCGTTCGGGAGTCGCCAAATAATGCCAAGTCATTTGTGGCTTCGACTGCCGAATCAAAACAACAACACCAATAAGAAATAACGTACCGACAATGTGATAATCACTACTTTAAGTCCAGTCATAAAAAAAACAATTGCATAACTTAAATGCAAATAATTGATCCATTTTTTTTCTATTTTGATTGCCGCATGGGGCAAGATATCCAGATGTTTGTATAAAATTTAATGATGTTCTCAATACCCATTAATAATAACAATTTTTTGAAACACTTTTTAAATCAAGACATAACATTTTTAGAAGGACGTGAAAAAATTGAAAGAGTTAGAAAGTTAAAGATATGAAGCTCTAACGGTTACCTATTACATACTTTTGGTCGAAATAATATACCCTTTTTACTCTCCAAGTAATGGGTATAAGAGGTAAATAAAACCAAAACAAATGGTAGCGCCAGCAAGCACTCTACAGAATAACCCGAATTCCGATGAAGATGAGGCCGTGCCGACGGCGCCCACTTCCATGCTGGTGCTGGACGCCAAGCGGAAGAGCGCCTTCCTGCCGTACCGGCCCCAGTCCACCGTGCTGACCAACCTGCAGCGCGGCAACACGGAGGCCACTTTTTGTCCCGTCGAGGTTTCGCTATCCTTCCACGAACGTGCCGGACAGGGTGAGATTACCGAGGAGCAGGTGATGGCGGAGAGGGCGCGCCAGCAGGACATTGATCAGAAGGACGGGAACGGCTTTACGGCCCTTCACTGGGCTGCCTCGTACGGCCAATTGGTTTCCGTGCAGCTGCTCGTCGGTGCTGGTGCCAATGTAAACAATATGGGAGCCACTGATCTCGTCAGTCCTCTTCTCCTGGCTGCTGCCGGTGGGCACAACGAGATCGTCCGCTTCATGCTGGAGCACGGCGCGGATTCGACCCACATGGACATTGTGGGAAATACGGCGCTCATGTACGCAGCGGCCGGAAATCATCCGCACACTTGCAACGAGCTGCTGGCCAGGGACTTGGATCTGAGCGCCACCAACGAGGACGGAGAAACGGCCTATTCCCTGGCTGTTGAGCATGGCGCTCATCTGGCCCAGGCACTCCTGGAGCAGTACATGACAGCCATTATTACGGTGGGAGCGTTCGGTAGTATTTGAAACTGAGGAGATTTAAGGGATATTAGATTTTCCATAGGTAGAGCAGCTATCAAACAAACTTGTTTTTACGTTTTTAATAAAAGGTACTGTTCAAATTAGGACTTAAAAATTGTGGTTAAAACCAATGTTCGTGGTTTCAATAATAGTTCTAGCTATATGTCCATTTCAGAGATTAATTTAGGATTAAGTCAGACTACGTAATTCAAATCAAAACTCAAACATTTTATTCTTGCTTTTGCGCGTCTGCTGTTCCTTGCTTAAACTACGTTCCTGAGCCTGAAGCGTGGCCAGCTCCTGTTTGTGGCTCTGCAGCTGCACTTGCAGTCGTTTCTGAAGCTGTGCATCTCCAGAATTTCTGTCCAGAGACTGCTTCACTTTTGCAATGTCCCGCTGCTTTCGGCGGATTTCATCAGCCACTCGCACTGACTCCACGTTAAGGGTTTTGGTCGAATGCTGTTGTAGTTCGTTGGTCTTAGCCTTCTTGGCCACTTGCTCACCCTGCTGATCGCTTTCCCCAGGACCGAGAACACTGGCGTTCAAAAATGTAAAAACATCCGTACGTTGTGATTCCCGGACGTAGGCCTTTTCATCCGCTTTTCGTTGCCGGCGCTGCGCACGCTTCAGCTTTCGTTCCACACTGAAATAGTCACTGTCCCCGTTGGCAGCCTCTCGCAGCTCCATGCAGGCATCTAAAGATCGACCCTGGGGAAGTATTTGGGCGCTAACAGGCGTCACAATGCCTCTTCCATCTGAGCCGAGACCCGTGCCATGGATGTAGCCCATTTTCTCCATGAGCTTGGATCCGATGCCCTGTAGGGTTGATAATTAGAGAAACTAAAGTTGCTGCATCTGACTGCACTGCATTACTTACCCGCGTGAACTCCTCCCAGGCACCCAGCTTTTCTGTTGGCTTAAAGGTAAACAAACTTAACTCGACCATTCGGGCTCTCCTGGCTTCCTCCAAATCATCCATGTCCGAGTCTACCTCATCACTGCTTTCGCCGTTTATGCTAGAGATGCTGTCTTCGCTGGAGAGGTCGTCATCCTCACCCAGATCCGTGGTCAGTGGAAACAGCTCTTCAAACTTAAAGTCACGCTCCCGTTCCTTGTGATCCTGGCCATCTAATCGCACCCGGCAAACCTGCTCTACGAAATTCACGCAAAGGACACGACCTCGGTGCCACAGGCGATCCGGCAGCTGGGCAAACACTGCTCGACTGCGGCAAAGCTTGTGGAATTCGGGTGGATTGTATTTTTTAATAGAGCTACCGGTAACCAGAGCGCCGTGGGAAAAGCGACACCTCGTTTCATCAAAACGGCACTCGCCCTCAAGATAATAAGAACAAGGCAGCATTTCCCGATGCGTGGGATTCGTGAAGAGCACTCTTAGTCGGGCATCTAAGATGCCATCGCCGTTCATGACCACCTCATCGTCCACTCCGCAGATGAGAGCATTGTGGTAGCAGGTGCCCCAACTGTGCTCGTGGGGAGCGGAGCACTTCTCGCCCACCATGGCGGTGTACTTCGCCCGTAAATCCGACAGCTGCCGCTCTTCATCCGCTGCGGATTGGGTAATGTCAGCTCCTTCCAGATTGCTGAGTTCGCTTCTGAGCCGCTGCAGCTCGTCGTCCAAGTCGTCTGCTTGTTGAGGTAATTCATCGGTTGGTGGTTCATCTTCTGTCTCCCGGGTGAGGGCTAGTAACTCCTGTAGATTCGACTTAAGGGCCAAAAGTTCCTGGCGTTGGGGCTCATCCGTGGTATTTTCCAACGCCTGCTCCACAACGAGCAACTGTTTGATGCAAGGGTTGTCATAAAGGAAGTTGGGGACAAATTGGATCACCTTTGCTCACTTGTGCTTCGTATTCATCCATAATTTGGGCTCAGGTTCATGGCGCGGCTTCTTTATGCAGGTTTGATTTCAGATTTTCAAAAAGAGATGCATGCATTCAAACACAGAAAAAGTGTACATTAAAGGTGAACGTTATAGCACTTCTTTTAAATTTACTTAACATGATACTGTAAGTCATATAATTTGTCTTCTAATCACAAATTCAAATTTAAAAACATATTTATGAATAATATGCAAGCAAAATAAAATAAATAATACAAATAAAACAGATATTCTAAGGATATAAATATATGTTTTAAAGAAATAAAACAGATGTGATATTTACCCGACCGCGACTGTGCGTAGAGGGAATCATCTGGCAGCACTATCAGCTGTTTGATTGTGACTTTTTCAACACTAGTCTGAAACAACAACAAAACGCCGGTAAACTCGTGTTGTTTTGATTGTTCGGTTACATATTATTAGATTGAATTATCGTAGTATGTTTTCCCTGAATTACACAACGAGAAACATGGTGCCTCGACTGCACCGTTTCACCAGCAAGATCGCCGTGGACATGGAGCCAGCGGTGATCTCAGCCCTGGAGCAGGCCACCATAAAACCGAGAAAACATCCCGGCGTGGTAAGGCCCAGTCATGTGGACCTTCCGAAACAACTGGGTGATACTCTGAAGCGCATCGTGGGCGATCATCCTATCAAGAAGCTTATTAACGATGGACAGCAGCTGAACGCTTACATCAAATCACGCCACCCGCCACCAACGCTAGAGGAGATCGAGAACAAGAAGCGGATCATCATAGAAGAAGTCAATGCCAAGATGTCTCTGGATCGCCTGGCCACGCTCGACGAGGAGGAGGCAGAGCGCTGGAAGCGCAAGCGGGAGCTGGAGATCAACAAGCGGCTGGGCCAACGCATCTACGCCTGGAAGCGGATTGAGTACGGCGCATATGAGTCCCTCGTCTACGCAACAGCCCGCGGTGCCCAAGAGTACGCGGTAATGAAACGCGTGCTCACGGAGCTGGCCCAACGGGACGAGCAGTTCCGACCGCGAAGCTTCTTCGATTTCGGTTCTGGCATCGGGACTGGCATGTGGGTGGCCAGCGAATTGTGGCGCGATCACATATACGAGTACTACAACGTGGACAGGTCCAAGGAGATGAACGAGATCTCTGAGCTCATTCTGCGCGATGGGCACGAGAACAAGCAGATTGCCCTGCGCAATGTGTTCTACCGCCAGTTCCTTCCCGCCATCGAAACCAATTACGATCTGGTCATTACTTCTCACACGCTTTTCGAGTTGGCGGACAAAGAGCAGCGGGAGGATGTTCTGCGCAATCTGTGGCGAAAGTGTGATGGCTACATGGTCATCATGGAAGAGGGAACACGTCGTGGCAGTGAGCTTGTCAACGAGGCCAGGCGGTTTCTGTTGGAGCAGGATCAAGAAGGACACACTGTGGCACCGGTAAGTTGCAAAAATAATTTAAAACATATGGCTTAATCCCAATAAATCCGTTTTACCTTTAGTGTCCACATGATGTGATCTGTCCCCGTCTTAGAGATCTGGCTGATCGCACGCCCTGCAATTTTCCAGTTTCATACGCTCCCCTGCGTTTGGGCAGCGATTCTTTGGCGGAGCGACACACCTCCCTCTACAGCTATGCCATCCTGAAGAAGGGCCCACAAACCGACAGCTCCAGTTCCTGGCCGCGGATTGTGCGCCCTACCTTGGTTCGGTCAAAGCATGCCATCTGCCGAGTTTGCACGGAAGAGGGCAAACTCCAAGAGGTCATTTTTACGAAGTCCAAGCACGGAAAGTGAGTAATACCGCTGTTTCCTCCTTTAATATTTCTGAAGCAATCAATTTCTTCCTTTTAGGTCTGCTTACTCTTGCGCGAAAGTCAGTCGGTGGGGCGATCGCTTGCCCATGTCTCTAGGACAGCAGGCCAATCCCGACTCAGCAGAATCATCCACCACAGAACAATCTTTCTTGGCGTAGTTAAAACTGATAAATAAATGTGTTAGGCATAAAGTCACGCCCTAAAACTAATTGATACTAAAAACTGGCATCCAATTAGTCGATTTAATTATGTGCAAACAAATCGTTGCGGGTGGAGCTGAAATTAATTAAATAGTTGCATTTAAATTAACTAAACAATCCAAATGGCAGGCCGCATGCTCATTGATACTAAATTTCTTTCCACGGCCAACACACCCTCACCTAGATTTTAATGTATGGCAAGACAAAAGGCGGATGTGACTGCGGATGGGTTGGCCCCGCCGTTTTGGATCAGCTTGTTATGTAATGTCACCTGTATATACTCCATACATATGTAGGAGTCGATGCTTGGCCAATGGTCAGCGATGTCACAACGCCCCGTGTGTTGACGTATGTGCAGAGGGATATTTGGAACGACTTTGGAGGCCAGATAGGTGGCGGCGTTATTTTATAATAAAACACACTTTTGAGTTTGTTCATAATTTATTTAAATAATATTATTACATTTTCAATATCGAAAAATACATTTTGTTTACATCAAAGAGGTTCCATTCTTTCAATCGCGATAATAGATTCCTCAGCCGAAATGTCTGGAGTATATCTCCATTTCGGAGGCCAATCCCTCTTTGGCTGACATTTAGTTATGCGAGTTTGGAAGTCTTAATGGGAGACGCGCCCTTTTAACGACCGCAGATCATCCCCGCAGTCCATCGCTTCTTGAGGTCCTGTGTGGCAAAAAGGGCATAACGTGGTTGGAAAAGGGCAACATGTGGGGCGCGAAAAGTGCCACGTCTATCGAAAGGGGAGTGGGTGCGGAAGGTTTACTTCCATGTACATGGAGTTTTAGGGATTGGCTTTGGAACAAGGTGTGTTGTAGAGCAACGGACCATGGATACATAACGATGGATTATAAATATAGCAAGTGAAGCACTTGGCTTCGCGGGTTACTATCCTTTGGGATTTTCCTGATTATGGCTTACACTTTCATATGAAATTTAATTTTCAAAAAATCACATTATTTCTTATCGCCTTGGATAACTAAAGTCTATATATATTGTATTAATACGATAAACTATTATTATTGGGTTATATTGGAATTATGTTAAAGCACATTATTGACATTTTGATTTTGTATACGGAGAGTATTACAATTTCAGTTCAAAGTTTTAAACGTAGTAAAGGAGACATATAAATTCTTGATCAGTTAAATTAATATACTGGTATTATAGCTAGAGCTATCTAAAAACATTTTAAAAATAGGATTCTGCGTTTAGAAGTTGGTAAAGAATTTTAAACACCCGGTCTCCGATCATATCCGTACTTTAAGTGGGATTATTTTGTAAAATATCAGCGTAGCAGTTTAGATATTGCGATCTAAGGAAGTATATATAAATTAAATTTAAAAGTGCTTGGAAATATACAATCTGAATTGATGTTACAATCATTAATATAACAATCTACGCTTAGTGTCTTATTTATATTTATACTTATATTAAAATAAGGAATTGTATTCAAATGACGTTAAATAAATAACTAAATAAAAATTTGTTAAGTCTCTTGCATAAATCTCATTTTAAAATACTTATGTTTCGCTAAAGATAATTTTATATTATTCTTTAATGAGCGATCTGGATCCCCTCCGCTGTTAATACTAATAGTCAATGTATACAGTTTACTGGATAAACAAGAACTGTAATCACTGTTTTATGTATTTTCAATTATAAAAAGCACATGTATTACAAACGGATCCTTTTTCTATCTACCCATCTGAGGCTGACTTTTTAACAAAATATGTATGTTTGTTTCAGCCTGGGAGATTGGATGTCGGTCTCTAAAACTGGGTTAGTTGGAAGTCTTCGTTTATATTTTTCATTCCAAACTTCTTGTGGGACTATAATTTAATTACGAAATGCATTTAGCAAGTCATTAACCCATTTAGCAGTGCGTATAAAGAGTAAATGCCAGGATATGTGACAGGATCCCACGGCTGTTCTATGTGCCGGCCAAAGTCCAAGCCCAGTTTCTGGGTGAGCACACGTCATGCAGCTCCATCTCCATTTCTATTTGGCCTCTATGTAATCACTCCGGTTGATACTAGGTGGGGTCGCTGCTGGTCGCTCGTTAAAAAGGCGCGTTCCCCGATGGTGTCAGCTGTCGCTCCGCTTCCACTGGGCTATTTGTATTAGTAAGGTGCGTCCCACAACAACTGCGACTAAATAATGGTGGCGTTTAGAAAGCATGCGCCGCTGTTGCAAGTGGTGCTAGTGACCCACCCACCCATTCAGCCAACCCCAATCAAGGCACTAGTACTCAGCCAACCAGGCAGCCGGCATTGTCAGCGCTTCCTTTTGTTCCGAGTCTCTATTTCTAATGTGCTGTACATAGTTAGATGGGTCGCCCGGGTCCGGGTTGATCAGAAGTGGCTACCTACGAACTGGCGCTGACTTCTGGCCATCAGTTCGACTCCGAGCGCGGCCAGGAAAAGTTGCGGTCGCGGTTCCAGTGGCAGTCATAGATCCAGTGATATTAACTTGGTTGGTGATTCATCTGTGCTTAGTGGACTACAGTCCTTTGGCGGCATATTTCATTCGCGCCTGTATCTTGCTGAACCGTTACCATATTGGCCATCGATCCGGTTGAGCAAAATTTCAGGTGTGTGAGAAATTTGTTAAGCATTCATCCACGAAAGTGTTCTGGAAACGATATGGTACAAGGAGATCTTTTCCTGGTAAATATTCAGGTGGTAATCACAACATGAAAGTTTAAAACTGGAAGACTCTGGTTGCTTATCTCTAAATGTCATAAGCAGTTAAGTGGTTAAGTTTAACGGAAAACGTTTACAAACAAATCGTTCAATAACTTAAAAGTCTATTAAATATGGTTGTTTAAATGAAAAAATGTACAAGATTTCAAGCCTAAACTTTACCAGTGTTTCTTCTCAATTTCATTAAAGTATAAAAACAAAAAAGATTATAGATTAGTTTGGTTGAGTCACAAAATTTTGCATTATTTTTACTTTCAGTTTTAACATTGATATTTGGGGGGAAAATAACCCAAACGACACGTAAAAAATTCCAGCTGACTATGATTGGAAGAGTTTCTGCCGCTTTAACCGATTACTATTTATTAAAGAAAAATTTGATTAGCGTTATTTAAATTGTGAGCCCTAACAAGTAAAATCCAGATTTGCAAAACTGTGGAAATAAACCACTTTCGATGAGCCTGAGATTTTGTCAAAGATCATCTTTAATCGCTAGAAAGCACGAGCGATACCCACGGTTATCACTTTTGTGGGTTTTCGAGTGCTACGGAGATTTATTGCACCCGACAATTCGCCCACGACAAGAGCTTTAAAGAAGCCCCGACGATTTGGACTTTGATTGTTTAGTTGTATTCTTTTGTACTCGTCATAGCGACAACGACATGGACAGCACATGATAAGTCAAATCAGAAAAATAAACCATCAAAGCCCCATCGGATTAGGAGTATGTGGGCGCAATGATACCCGTAAATATTTAAACTGGGCCCAGCACGATTAGCTAAAACAAGGAAATTAAGCGATTGCCTTGATTTAGTCGCAGGAGTGATGAGATCCCATGCGCCATATTTACGATTTCCTATAGCTGTTATATGGCGCGAACGATCATAAATTGTAATCTTATCGTTTGCTTGGTGTTCGCCGGCGTGCAGATTGTGGATGTAGGCAATATTTAAACTTATCAAACACTTATGTAAATTGTTATTTATAGTATTGGAACGAACTTCTCCAGTCATCGAGTGGTTGCCATTTTAATAATTCCCTGAACCAGCTTAGACCGAAGTTCAAGCCCAACCAGCGATCATTAGTGGCACTTGATAAAGCCGTGACGTTTTTCAAGTTTATATACTTTGCTCTGTTCTCCATTATTAGCTTGGGAACATTCAGTATTTACTATATCAATCGGCTTTTGTTTAGCTCGAGTCGAGAACGGTCAAAGTCCGCCAGTGTATTGAATCATACTGTCGGTGCGGGGTTCGTTTGATGGAGCAATTAATACGATAATAACTAAATAAGCACTTATCAATGATGTTCTAAGCCGAGGAAATGAAAAGTAGGACAGAGCTAACAGTAGTACGGAACTTGAAAGAGAAAGTGAAAAAGCTATGTTATTGCTGATCCGGGTTAAATTAGGTCGGGGATACTAAAATTATTTTATTACCAATGCATGAAAAGCTATTCGAAACTACCTAAAGATAAGCGTAAGTGAAATATCTAACACATGTTTGGTTAAGCTTACTACTTTGTAGATATTCTGTGTCCTTTATAGCCCATTAAATTTAAACCTATTGATTTTCTAGTGCTACAAGCCCCCAATCGTTTTTAGCTTAGTTTAGTTTCATATGCCATTCTTCTGTTTTTTTTCATATATATTTAAAAAACATAAATAAAAAATTAAACACTGGCTATAAATAATTTAATTTAAATAGTTAAAACCAAGTGCGAAGCCGTATAAGATTATTAAACACACCAACAATTTTTTAATCCTTAAAAATGAAAATGTTCGAATAAATTTTGTTTATATTTGCAGTCGATTGCATGATAAATTAACAATTTTTCTATATAGCCACCAGATGGGCAAGGAGTTCCAGTTCCGATAACCTTGCTCTGTCAATGTTAATTAACCAACCGCAAGGGTCCAATGAACAGCGAACAAGGAAGCTAATCGGTGAAGTAACTCTGATTCACGAGCCAGCACAAAGAGCCTTAACAAGTATAGTCGGTTGTTGGCGGGGAATTGTGAATATATAGGCATTGTAAACTGGCCCGATAATGTTGTGCGGGGATAGGGCTCGCTATTGTTTCCCTGTACGTTGCCATTGGCACAGAACAAAAATTAAATTAAGAAAGCGACGGCGGCGCGGGAATGTTTATTACGTATTACGTATACGACTATTATAGAGTGTCGACGAAATTCGATATGTGGACTTGTGACCCGAGCACGATCCTCCTCCACCCCGCCCTCCGTTGTCAACCGGGGCAATCGGGCCGAGATCGCACTGCCAAAACTCAATCAGCTGCCACAGGTGAGTATCTGTGTGCCCCAGGTGCGCCGGTGTGCGAGCGGTTCTTA